GAACTAGACAGCCAGACTCTGTCCATTCTGATTAGTGATTACTTGTGCTTCTGAGCCCATCCCATAAATTCACAATTGTGACTTCATAATTAATATGGAACTTTTCGCATTAACACAATAACACAGATTATACAACAGATGCAATGAACTTTCTGCATGATTCGTCTCCACGTCTCCAGAAAAAAAAAAACAAAGAGTAGAGAGAGACTGCACAATGTAATCACGGTCGAATTGGCGCCAATACGATTATATGAATGATAATAGCCCCTGACAAGTAATGACAGCCTAGTTTTAGACTATTTCAAACTGAATAATTAACAAACTGGCATGATAATTTCCTGCCAAAAGTTGTAATTTCCTGTAGCCCCTGTTAGATAAGAGTATACTCCCTCCGTATTTTAATGTATGACGCCGTTGACTTTTTGACAAACGTTTGACCTATCGTCTTATTTAAAAAATTTATATAATTATCATTTATTTTATTGTGACTTGATTTATCATCAAATGTTCTTTAAGCATGATATAAGTATTTTTATATTCGTATAAAAAATTTGAATAAGACGAATGGTCAAACGTTGGTTAAAAAGTCAACGGCGTCATACATTAAAATACGGAGGTAGTATTTATTTATACTGAGTACTACGCACTCACTTTTTCTGTTTGTTGAATCGTTGACTTGGGGAGTCAAGCCACTGCTATCACTTGGCCAATTTGCTGAACTTTCAGAGTTACTCCACACTCATTTTCCTGATTTCATCGTCTCTTTAAATTTTAAAACGTAAATAAACAGGACCAGGCAGGCAGTCGAAGCCTGCACTATAAATCTGAGAGCTATGCTCGTTCAAAAAAAAAAAATCTGAGAGCTATGCAGAGACCACTTTGTTCATGCAGTGTTAGTAGCTCAAACTATCTTGCATTTGGTTCTTTGCTACTGCCCTTTTAGCTGTTCTTGTTGTCTGCATGTATACATGTTCACTAGAAGTATATGATCCTCCACATAACAAAGCTGTTCCTGCCTCTGTTCCGACCAGTGAGTTTTCTTCTCAGGGACAAGCATCATGCACACAGCAGATGCCGATCTGAACATTCTGAAACCAAAGCTAAAACAGAGCTCACACATGGCGATGTCGCTGTTGTAATGTCACACATGCCGATCATGTTACTTTTCCCTCGAACTACTCCTTGTTTAAATTTCTCTTATTTTAACCATCAACTACCCTCCTACTCTCGACCACACCTCATTTAATGAGGTGAGGGTATCTATGCCATTTTCCTAAATCACTAAATTCCCCACTCATTCTAGGATTACAATCTTTTTGAGATAAAGGGAGTACAAGACTATTTGTCATTTGTTAATAAGTCGGGCTGTTTTTCATCTTTCTTATCATGTTTAGCACCAAAATTGATTAGAGGTAGCAGCATAACCATCGATTATGAGCACACCCAATATTCGTAGCAATAAGTTTTACGACACCTAGATGGCAAGTTTCCTAGCCTCCAAAATAAAGAAAAGGCTTGATTGCAATGAAAAGAATAAAAGATGTTTCGATATCTTTTTAAGGCAATATTCCTGTGCAAGAAAAACATCCTATAAAATGTAGAAACTGTGAACGATGAAATAGGCGTGCATTAAAGTAACATGGTATTTATATTTGCAGCTAAACGGGTTCTTAAGGAACATATTCTGAAATAAAGGTGCCAATGGGACTTACTTATATGGACAAAATAGCGAAAGCAAAGGGAGAGAACCCATGGGATGAACAGGAAATCTTGAAGGCATGTTCCTATTGGTTGCAGACTGTAACCTCTGGCTTCACAGCCAACAATGTTTCCTCTGGAGCCTCCAATGGTGAAGTGTTCTCTGTTTGATAGGTTCTCAAGTCTACGTGTGCCTTGGTTGGAAAAAAATCGAGGTTCTTGGAAAGAATCACGCTGTTGCTGTCAAGCGAGAAACTTAAGGAACAGAAGAGTCCATCCTCCAAGGAAAAGAAGCATGACCCTGCATCAACTTCATGTTCCATGTATTTCACCGGGAGCACAACGATGGATAAGCAAGGATCATGGTTCTTGTCAGAAGTTGTGACATTGATGCGATAAGCATTGATGGGCCCATTATCCTTTGATAAGCCAAGGAACACAGAGCCATGTGGGGCGGCGCATCCGGTGAAAGGTAGCTTCTTGTTGTCAACCTTGTGCCACTTGATTGAGTTGGTGTCAAATGCATACGTGCCCCATGGCTGATTGAATGATACCAATATGTAGGCATCAACCACCACATAGGACATGACGATTACAACCGGCAGCAATGTGTAATCTACCGGGCGAAGCTTCCAAGGGAAGCAAGGTGGATGTGGTAGCTTAATCCAGGAACATCCCTCCAGGTGGTAGCCGCGGCCAGCAGTAGCAGCGACGACTTTGGATTGGGAGAGATCGAGTAGCTCGAACCATGGCGGGAAATCGGGGTCTGCAATCCAGGAGGGGGACTTGGACATGGCATAAACCTTGTCGCCCACTGCCATTAGGGCAGGGCACCATTTTGCGGAGTTGAGAGCGGGCCCATGGATGACCTTCTCTGTCCTCGTGTCGAAGATGATGGTGTCGCCGGGATCGCCCCCGACGCCAACGATCCACGCGCGATGGATCGACCGCACAGAGGTGAAGCTCTTACCGCCGGCAGCGGTGGGCAGGCGGGTGATCCGGCGCAGGCGCTTCCGCTTCGCCTGCGGTGGAGATGAAGTGGCGGTGGCAGTGGCGGTGACGCCTACATTGTATACGGAGTAGGGCTTAGAATACCTGGACCAATCCCAGTGGCACGCCACAAGGTAGACAGACCGACCACGTCCTTCATCCAACTCATCGCCGACGATCCCCGGCTGGTTGAGATCCTCTGTTGCTTCTTGCATCGGCTGATCGCAATCCGCTTGATCCTCGTCCGAATCACCGCCGATGATCCCCAGATGCCCCGACTCAAACTGATCGGCGTCTTCCGTTTCTTCTAGCTCTGGATCTGTAATGGATGGCTTGGGCTTGTCATAGGAAGCCTTGCCCCTTGCTCCATGACGGTCTCTCGTCTTCCTCTTTTCGCTGCCCATCCCTGGTCTATGCTGTCGCCGAGAGGCCGGAGGAGGAGGAGATGATGACGGCGGCGGCGGCTGCGGCTGCTTAGGACAGAGTAAGGCCCACCAAACACGGAAAGGAAAACAGGCCCAAACAAAACAAACGGCTGGACTCTGTTCAGTCTGATTATACTTCTGTTTCTCAGCCCATCTCACAATTGTGAGTTCGTATTTTTTTTTCATCTTTTGACATTAATAACACAGAATACACGGTCATGGTGGATATTCACGGAACTTCTCTATATGCAATTGGTAGCAATACGGATGGATATAGCTCCTGAATATGCAATGACAGCCTATGTTTGACTTCTTCAGTGTTCACATGGTTTCACACTGAAGAATTAACAAACTTGTATGATAACCAGAAAGTTAATTGTAGTGATAAATTTCTATAGAAAGTACATACTCACTAGTACATATTCACTTTTGTGTACGTTGAAACTTGGACTTGAGGAGTCAAGCCACTGCTCTCTCTTGGCCAATTCGCTGAACTTTCATAGTTACTCCTGCCCCATTATCATCTCTTCAATACATAAATAGAGACGACCAGCCAGTTGACGCCTCATGCGTGCACTATAAATTCAAGAACCATGCAGAAACCAGTACTCTGTTCACGCAGTGTTAGTATAGCTAGTGCTACCTAAGCATTTGGTTTTCATTATCCTTCTTTCTTATTTGTTGTTCTCATTCTTATCACTGTGTTTCTGCGGAAATATGTTCACTAGAAGTCTGCTCGTCCATATGACGAAGGTGTTCCTACCTCTGTTCCAGCCTCTGAATTTTCTTCTCTGTGACAAGCACAACACACACAGCACATGCCCATCTGAACATTCTGAAACCAAAGCAAGAACAGAGCTCACGCATGGCGATGTCGCTGTGGTAATGGCAGCGCTTGGGCTCAGTTTCAATGCGGAGGGCAACGAGGTAGAGGATGAAGCTCTTGTACTATTAGAAGAGAAGCAAGCGAGCTGGGAAGAACTAGAGGAAGCTTTCAGCGTGTTCGACGGCGACGGCGATGGATTCATAAGTCCCCTGGAGCTGCAGAATGTGATGAGAAGGTTGGGTTTGCAGCACGACGCTGGCCATGAGGAGTGTGAGAGAATGCTCAAGGTTTTCGACAGAGATGGCGATGGAATGATCAATTTTGACGAGTTTAAAGTCATGATGCAAGGAGTTGTCTGAGTTTTGTTTTTTTTAGAGAAGATGTTCATCGCCGGAGCTGCCTGAGTGACTACTCGATCTGAAACATGCACATACGCGGATACGCCCCTATCGATCACCTGAGGCTGTTACTTTTGTTTCTTGATTTGAACAAGTAATGGTAGCTGAGCTGAACCATTTTCCCTTGGTTGCCTATGCTGGTTTCTGTTGTGTTACCAAAAAACTTTGCCGATGTATGGCCACATATCAATTTAAGGAGTTCCTGTCTATCATCGGCTCGTTGCTTTTGATACGCACGACAGTAATGGATCGGCATGCCACTTTGTACTGACAGGATATATTTGGCAATCAGTACACTCAGGAGTAATAAAATAATTAATTTTCACTAGACCTTACATGTGGTGGTATACTTGCAGAAATATACGAATGGGCTGGGAACGGGCCGGAAGCTCCGTCCTGGTGGTTTCAGCCCATCATTTTTTTTAAGGAAAAAACTGAAGGCGCGTCTCCTCCGTTCCACCGTAATCCTGTCCTTTACCTTCTCCGATCCGAATTTCCTTCCAGGTTTCCGTGTATAGCCTACACCTGTGCGCCTATATATTCCACACGACGACGACGACTCATCCCCAATTCCCCCATCGATTCTTCGCCACCGGCAACATCCATCGATCGATCTCAGATCGCCTCCTCTTACCAAGCAGAGAGTTCTCTGCGCAAAAACGCATGGATCCGACGGCCGGGACAGGTTCCTCCACCAAGAAGATCCCTAGTTGGATGGTAACGGAGCTGCCAATGCTATCGACGGAGGCCAACCGCTTGCCACAGATCCCTAGTTGGATGATAAGGAAGCCGCTAATGCTATGTATGGAGGCCGGCCGCTCTGGCAAGGCCGCCGCCGCCGCCACCGCGGACGCCATGGAGCAGAGCTGCTCGGTGTGCCTCAAGAATTTCGAGAAGGACGACTGCATCTGGTCGATGCCCTGCTCCCACACTTTCCATCAGCTCTGCATCTTGGGCGACCGCTCCTGCAGGGTCTGTCACCCAGCTGCTCCGCCGTCCACCGACGAGAAACCGGAAGCCCCTCGGACTATGCATTGATTGAATGAATTCGCGCGGAATCAGTGCTTTGTTTAACTGATCAATGTCGTGGCCGTGCAACAAATCTGCATTTCTCTGAAAATTGCAAGAAACATGCAACTCTCTGAGAACTTCATTATCTGAATTTTTTGTCTCTAGTTTTCCTGCGAATCCCTTATGGAATATATTTTTTGTCTCCAGTTCTCCCATGCATGAATCCCTTATGGAAATTTTTATCGAAATGTTTAAATTTACATAGTTATATACTTCTGCTTTCTTGATCTTCAATTCAAAGTCTGTAATAGCTCTTTGCATTATCCTTCTTTTTCTCTGTTCTCATTCTTGTTTCTGCGCAAATATGTTCACGGTACAAGTCTGCTCCTCCATATAACGAAGGTGTTCCTACCTCTGATCTGATGTCTGAATTTTCTTCTTTTCTGAACATTCTGAAACCAAAGCAAGAGCAGAGCTCGTGTCAGAAATTTCCCAAGATCAAACTCACCAAACCACTCACCCTCTGAATCTCTGAATATTGTCGGATGTGTACAGTACACTGAAGAACTCAGAAAACAGAGACACAAGTGAGATGGATATTGATACCTCGAGGGGATTGTCTCCTCGTTGTTTGCTTGTCACTCTAATAGTTATGAAAAAAATTTGAGAAGATGTTTTAACATGTAATATATCACTCTATAAATATGCAAGTTCAAATTAATGGTAGCTAAGCTGAACCATTTTCCTTTGGTTGCATATATGTTGGTTTCTGTTCTGTTACTGAAAACTTTGCCGATGTATGGCGGGATGTCAATTTGAGGAATTCCTGTCTATCATCGGTTCCCTGCTTTGATACGTACGACAGTAATGCATCGGCATGCAGCTTTGTAGGATATCAGTATAATTTTTTTCCAATTAATTACTACTAGTACAATTGGGAGTATATCCATCCATAGAACAATAATTTTCATTTGTAGCAGTCAATAAACGGGAAGTGATGCCCCCCCTCCCCCCGCGTCGGGCGGCTCGGGGGCGAAAAACCCTACCCGCCCGCGCCTCCTCTCCCTCCCTCCCCCCACCTCGCCGCCGCTGGAGCCCGCCGGCGGCAAAGCCGGCAGCGGGCAGGGAAGGCGGCGGTGAGGCCTTCTTCTCTTCGTGGCGTCTCCCTCCTCAGCGCAAAGGACGAAGATGACGAAGCTCCCCACCGGCGTGGTCCGTGGCGGCCACGGCGGCAAGGTGGGGAGGAGGCGGCGGATCCGGAGCCCCAATGGCCGGATCTGGCCCTCCCTCGCCTGGATTTGCGTGGTGGCGGCCCGAGGATGTCACACCCCAATCTGATACCGCCGTAAAACGGCACCTGACAGGAGCGTGTCGTAGGGAAAACGGCGCGAACCGCTTCCTACGAAACCGCGATCTCGGTACCAGTCCCAGGACATAGTGCTGGTACCCACGGTGACAAATATGAATCATAGCAATCCTTAAAATAAATAGAGGACTTATTTATCTTAACTTAGGTTGCAGCTCAGACAGCCCGAGAATACAACCGACGACGCGGACGAGGAAACACCAACAGCAGCAGCAGCAGCGGAACCAACGGTCTAACACCCAACACCACAGGCGACGGCTGGGAACCAGGACGAAACCCTAATCTTCACTTCACTTTATCTTCTCTTCAGGGCGGAGGAACTATATATATATTTATAGAGCAAGGGTGAGTACTTTCGTACTCAGCAAGTCACGGGAACTTAGGTGTTTAATGCTAGCTTGGAAGAGAGGTAAGGTTGTTTTGCAAATCTTTTGTTTGAAATCACTAAGTGATTTATTTCTTTCTATGTTTGGGCGAAAAGAGACTTGCGTCTCGATTCGACTTTAAGAGATGCTTTTCAACAGCTCATTTAGCAATGTACCGACCTCCCGGGTCAGATCATTACTTCTCGGCTCCCAGAGCCATTCCACTTGATTAATCGGCTCCCAGAGCCTTTTTCATTTTCTCGGACTCCCAGAGCCCAGCTGCCCAGCAGCACAACAATCCGCTTCCACTCGGGAAGCCTAGTCTATGATGCCCGCAGACATCCCGAATCACACAGATTCGTTTCTGACCACTCAGGTCGTCCATCTGCCACATAGGCTGATTCTGGTTACGATTCCCACACCACAACAACTTTTCACAAAGCACAGGCAAACAAATCTACGCAACGGGAACCACCTCACATCCGCCCATGACCGTGGGCACGGCTGTTCGAACAGTTAGTTAACCTCTGCAGAGGGGTACACTTTACCCACAAGATACGAACTTATTCCGAACACCCGTCGGTATCGGAGGTTCGCAACAAAGCCTTTCCCCAGCCGACCCAGGGTTACCTCATGCCACATAGAAGGATCAAATCCTCACATAAACATAGGCCATTTTAGGCGTTCACAAATCAAACTCCAACCACCTCGATCGGTAATCTGGCAAGCTTCGCGTTCTTGCCTTACCAGGAACCCGGTTTGGCTCCAACCGACCCCGCCCCGGCGTTCCCAACTATTGGCATGCGAGGTTTCCCTGAACCGACTAGCTACTTAGCCAGGGTGTCCCATTCCACCTTGTGGTTGCACTTTGATTATGTTCGATGAGTTTCTCACAGGAATCGGTCCTTATATGCGAATACGGGACAGTACCACATAGGCACAACCCCCGCATCGCGAGTTTTTCACAATTCATTTTATTTTCAAACACACCGACACCACATGTCGGGTTTTGAAGGCTTCACAAACCCATTTCCCAAGTTTTCGACAAACAACGGTGTATGTGGGATATTTAGTATACGCGCTCAGAGAGCACGAATACCAAGGTACCACAAGGGTGGAGCGACAAGGAAACAGGGTAGTACGACCTACGGAAATTAGTGCGACTACTGGGTAGGTCCGTCGGTTTGGCATGGAAACCGAGGCCAAGCAAGTTAAGTGTGTGATTCTAATAATGCAAGTTGCAAACGAAATAATAATGACTTTTCAATTATAGGAGCAATTGATCAAAGGGTGACTTGCCTTGCTCAAGGTCTTCACGAAGCTTCACGAATCTTCGAGAAAACCCGCGATCGACGAAAATCCGATAACCGCAACTATACGCAAACAATCGAAAACCTAAACAAAAGACCAAAAGAAAGATCCTATTTAGACTAATTAGTAGTGCCATTAAATAGATCTCAATTTTACGGAATTACTGGAAGTTGAACGGAGTCAAACGGAAGAGCGGTTGGGAAGATATGAATTTTGGAAGTTTAATTTGGATTTTCTGGTCAAGGAAATGATTTATCGGAATTTTCTGGAATACGAGAAATGGTTTATGGGGTTTGAAGAAATAATATTCCCAAGAATATTATTAACAGTCACTGTCATGCGGGACCAAAGGAAATGATTTGTGGAATTTTGGAATAAGGAATTGATTTATGGGACAAAGGAAAAAGGATTTATTAAATCCCTGGAAAAAGAAAAGGATGGAGGGATGTCAATCAGACTTGTCTCGGGTGGCATTGGCGCGGCCCGAGGGACTTGCGCAGCTCGGGCGAGCCTAATGGGCCGGCACGGCCTGCGAGGAGGGCGGCCCAATGGGGCGCGGGGGAGAGAGGGACGGCCCGGTGGACCGATTCCACCGCGCGGGGTCCCGGGTGGGGCCCGCTTGTCGGTGGCACGGCCCACGGTGGGATGGGCGCACGCGAGGTGCGGCGCACGGGTTTCGGGTGCGCGGGGCTTAGGAGCGGTGCACCGGTTGGACGGATGGCGGCGGGCCCATATGCAGTCGCACGGCTTTCCGTGGACCGCGCGCACGGGAGGGAAGTCGGAGGGAGGGGACGACTGACCGGCTTGGCCCAGTCAAAGCCGAGGTGGCGCCGACGTGGCGCCTACGTGGCAGCCACGCGGGCCGGCGGGAGGAGGAAGAAGGGGAGGCCGAGATGGACGGCGGACGGCGGCCGTGTTCACCGGAGCAAGCGCGACGGATTTGGTCTTCGGGGAGCACACCGGAGTGACGAGGGCGTCGAGAAGGAGCGAGCCAACGGCTCGGATTTCGCCGGAGGGAGTTTGTCGGCGGTGGAATTCGACAGTGGCGGCCGGCGGCGAGAGAAAGGGGAAATCACCGAGGGGCGACGAGGACTCAATTCGAGGCGGTGAAAGCATCTCCGGGGTTCAAGGAGTCCGCTTCCGGCGTCGGATGGGGCGGAAGAGCACCAAGGAGGGCTGGCGACGAGCGGCGGCCTCCGGGAGCGGGCGGCAACGGCGGCGAGGCCATGCCGGGCGGCGGCGGGTCTAGGGAATGGTTTGGGGAGGTCCTAGGGAGCTCAAGGACGGTGGTGGCGCGAGGTATTGGCGAGAGGGCCCACGGCGGCTCACAGGCGGGCGCGGCGGCGGCGAAGCAGAGCAACGGCGGGGCGGCACGTTTAAGGGGACGAGCGAGCAACCGAATGGCTCGGGGCTTATCCAAAATGACGCAGATGGCGAGAATTTGGGCGAGGAGCTCACCGGTGTGCGGGAACGGTATCGGCGGCGATTTGGGGATGGAAAGGGGTGGAAGGCCGATGACGGCACGCGACCGAGCGGCGGCGCACGGCGAATGACGCCGAGGCGGCGCGGCGTCGAGGCGAGTGCGCCGGGGAAGAAGAGAGGGAGAGGTGGCGCCCGGAGCTCCTCGTCACGCGTTCACGCTCGCACCGGCTCCTCCGGTGCTCGGCGACGGACGACGACGACGAGAGCGGGACAAGCGGCAACAAGGCGGCGATGGTGGTTCGGTGGTAATGGCGCTACAGCGGTGGAGACTGAAGCGGGGAAATTGAGAGGAGGGACTCGGCCTTATAGGCGAGGAGGAGAGGTCGGTTTGGAGGAGGGAAACCGACATTGGCAGTCAAGGGATGCAAGGGCGACGAGCTGGCGGTCGTCGACGCGTGCAGCCAAGGCGGCGGCAGGTGATGACGCCGGCGGTGTTGGGCAAAAGGAAAAAGAAGGGGGAAAGGGGCTTGGTCCCTTGCCAAAACGAGAAAAGGAGGAGGGAG